TGTCCCTTCCATTGTGGATAGATGCAGCCTGAGGCCCTCACCGGAAATAGAGGCCAACACCATGCTTCTTATACAGCCTGCAAAACCAAGAGCCAAAAGACCTCTTTTCTTTATACATTACCCCCACCTCCTCAGGTATTCCTTTTCAGCAACACAAACACGCTAAGCCACACAGTGTATGAGTTCGCTAGGGCTGCCACAGCAAACAACCATACACTGGTTGGCTTCAACAACAGAAATTCATTTCCTCACACTTCTAGAAACTGGATCAAGTCACTGGCAGGGCTGCTTTCTTCTGAGGTCTCTCTCCTTGGCTCACAGGTGGCTTTTCCTGTGTCTTCATGTGGTCTTCCCTCTGTACATATCTGTGTCCGAATCTCCTCTTCTTATAAGGACACCAGTGAGCCTAGATTAGGGCCCACTCTCTACTGCCTATTTAAAGACTCTCTCTCCAAATACAGTCACATCTGAGGTACTAAGGGTAAGGATTCCAACATGCACATTTGGAGAAGAAGGAGACATAATTCAGCCCATCGCACATGGTCAGGGGACAAGACTGGAAGCCTCTGGTTCCTTAGAAGGAGCTACTAGGCATGACCCCTAGATGGGGGTACACATTTGCATTTGTACCCCCATTTGCAGATGGATACAAAGGAATCCAGGATTATTCCAGGGTACCTGGACCTCAAATTCTGTATCCTAGAGCTTTCTACAGCTTTTCCGGGATTATTGAATCAGATACATTTGAACTGAACTCAAATGGATTTGGAAGGTGAATGGAACAGAGAAAGATCGGGTGTAGAGGGAGAGGTCAGATCTAGCTAGCCCCAGCGATCAGGCATTAGGATGGTCCCAAGATATTACACTCCCTATGGCTCTGAACCCTGGGGTGAGCGCTACAGGATTTGGATGAAACTAGGTAAACACAGGGGTGTTTCCTGTCACTCACCAGGACTTTTCAGAAATCCAAGAAACCCAGTGACTACTCAGAGTTGGGAGACAAAGAAGACTTTACAAATTCATCCCAGATGCAGTCCTGTTTATTTTCAACCATGCATAGTATATGCATAAGTAGCCCTTTTTAGTAATGTAACACGTCCTCAGTGTACCTGTCCTGACTGCCCTCTTCCACTGCTGAATAACCTCAGGGAGGTTTCCTTCTTCCTGATACTGGCTAGGGTCAGAAACATGCATCCTATTCCCAGCTGCCTCAGGTCCAGTTCTATGGATGGGGAAGGATGAATGGCTGTCCCGTCATCGAAGTCCTTATATTTTGGGTCCTTTTTAAAAATTAAAAAAAAAAAAAAATGTAGCTTGTCAGACCACACAAAGCCACACAGGCTTCTATGAGAGCGCTGGAATTTAATTTCATGGTTTTCATGTCTCCAGCCAGGAGGACTGGCTTCTCCCAGTCCAGACCATTCTCAGTGCTTTCTCCAGTATTAACGGACAGGCGTGCTTTCCTTTTAATCCCTTTTTCAGAGTGACCTGGTACTGGAGGCTCACCTGGTCTACCCATATGCCACAGGGTCTCTGATCTGAGAAGGGGGAAGAAAAGGTGGTTGCCCTGTCTGGCCCTTCCTGCAGCTTCAGTAGAAATCAGAAGGCACAGAGCCTGCTTGGGTTTCCACGTGGCTCACTTCTTCCCTCCCTATCTCATTCCCACCTTTTCTTCTCTCATGCGTTGTTTCATGCCTGCCCCTTCTCTACAGCTAACCCTTTTAGAGCAGTTCATGGACGTGTTCAGCCCTTCATCAACGCCCCCACTGAAGCCCTGAGCTAGCAGACACTCCACAGTGGTGTGCAAAACAGGAAAGTGAATGTGGGCCCTGGCCTGGCCTGGCCCAATCATTTGTCCTCTCTTAACCTGAGTTTCCTTGTCCATGAAATGAGTATGCTGGCCTAAGTCAGGGCCAGTAAGTCGATTTCTAGTTTGGCCTGCAGAGGAATTATGTTGCAGCAGGGTCTAAGTGCATTTCTGAGCTTACTGGGAGATGGCATCATGTTCAGGTTGTGGTATCTGGCAGGGGCACAGGATTGGGAGTGGTGGCCCCTCTGGAGGCTCGTCTCCAGCCCTCTGGGACCACAGAATTCACCACAACTTCTAAGTCCCCTCTTCTGCCAACCCTCGAAGCAGAACACCACTAGGCCCCAGTTCTGATCCTGCTCCCAGGGACTGTGGCACAGCTCATCAAGCCTCAAATGTCCATGCTCAAACCCTCGGCACCCAAACATTGAGGCTAGAAAGTCACACGATTCTTTTAAACTCAAATTCCCTATTGCTTCAAAGTCTCGACAGCTGCCACCCTACTTTGTTCCACTGGGCCCTGGGGCATCTTGATATTCTGTCTCTCCTTGGATTCTGCTTTGTGCCTTGTCTTAATCAAACCTTGAATGTCCCCTAAAGACAATGTTTCCTGCCACCTCTCAACTGGTGCAGCTCCTTCTCTCATCTCCTAGGTGGGATGGGAGTCCCCCTCAGCCACCATCACAACATCCAGACCATCACTCCTCCCCAGCCACCTTACAAAATCTGCTCCCCTTTTGTGCCCCAAAATACCACCCCTCCTCTCCTCCTGGCTGTCTTCTACAGCCTCCCGGTCATTCCCTTTAGTGACAGAAGATTTAAGCTTCTGGCTCACAGCCTTCCCCTCTACCCCCACTCTGTTATCCACTCTCAGAACTTTCTACCTCTGAATGCTTTTTGGTTTTTGTTTGATTGGTTTTGTTTTTGATTTGTGAAACGGGGGTCTCAAAACTCTGTCTCCCAGGCTGTAATGTAGTGGTGCAATCATGGCTCATAGCAGCCTCAAACTCCCAGGCGCGAGCAATCCTCCCACCTCAGCCCTCAGCCTCCCAAGTAGCTGGGACTACAAGTGCTCCACCACACTCGGCTAATTTTCAAATTTTTTGTAGAGATGGAGTCTCACTATGTTGCCCAGGCGGGTCTCAAACTCCTGGACTCATGCAATCCTCCCTCCACAACCTCCCAAAGTGCTGGGATTACAAGTGTGAGCCACCATATCTAGCCTCTGAATCCTTATTGCCCTGTGGTTACCACCCACACCTGGATTTCTTTTTATTTTTAATTGTGATAAAATACAGATAAATATAACATAAAATATAAAGGACATAAAATTTACCATCTTAACTTTTTTTTAAATTAAAAGACAGGATCTTGTAATGTTGCTCAGGCTAGAGCACAGTGGCGTGATCATAGCTCATGGCAGCCTTAAACTCCTGGGCTCAAGTGATCCTCTCGTCTCAGCCTCCCAAGTATCTGGGATTACAGGTACACACCACTATGCTTGGCTCATTATAACCATTTTAAAGTGTACAGTTCAGTGACTTTAAGTATATTCACGGTGTTATGCAATCATCACCACCATCTATCTCCACAACTCTTTTCATCTTGCAATACTGAAACTGTAGCCATTAACCAATAATTCCTCATTCTCGTCTCCCTACAGCCTCTGAAGTTACCATTCTACTTTCTGCATCTATAAATTTGACTACTCTAGGCACTTCACAGGAGTGAAATCATACAGTGTTTGTCTTTCTGTGACTGGCTTCTTTCACTTGGCATAACGTCCTCAAGGTTCATTCATATCATAGCATGCATCTGAATTTCCTTCTTCATACCTGGAGTTTGCATTCAACAGAAATCCCAACCTCCAAACTTAGAAATTGAGAATCCTACTCTCTGACTATGCCTACAGCTTGCTTAATGCCCCATGGAGAAAATGCCTGAGGTTCATCAGGTGTTGAATGGACATGACAGGCTTTCTTCTAACCCCAAGCATTCAGGGGCTAAAATGAAGTATCTCGTGCATAAGACGAAGGATCTTTCTTGTCTTCACACAACTAATTTCACCTAGATATTATTTTTGCCTAAATCAAACCTGTAACCAGGAATGTGAAGCCAAGGTGTGGTTCGGAATTCCTTTCCAGAATTGAGGGAGGAATCCCCACCTAGAATTTTGATGACTCAGATGCTACCAAGATACGTGGTAGGCAACTGGTAGTAGGTAGGTAATGATTCATCTTTCATCCCGTTGAGTCTGTGACAAATAATCCAACCAATGGACAAGCTCTGAAAGTTAAGGCCTTTGAAAGGACATAAGCAATGCCTGCCAACACGTCCCCTCCTGGTTTCGGGGTTTAAGACCTTTACTCTCAGGAATCCAGGTAAACTCAGGTAAAAAGAGCTTTTTTTTTTTTTGAGACGGAGTTTCGCTCTTGTTACCCAGGCTGGAGTGCAATGGCGCGATCTCGGCTCAGCAACCTCCGCCTCCTGGGTTCAGGCAATTCTCCTGCCTCAGCCTCCTGAGTAGCTGGGATTACAGGCACGCACCACCATGCCCAGCTAATTTTTTGTATTTTTAGTAGAGACGGGGTTTCACCGTGTTGACCAGGATGGTCTCGATCTCTTGACCTCGTGATCCACCCGCCTCGGCCTCCCAAAGTGCTGGGATTACAGGCTTGAGCCACCGCGCCCAGCCTTAAAAAGAACTTTTTTAACCCAAACACTCTATAGCAGTTTCTGGCTAAAGAAGCTATCCAAGCTTTTTTGCTAAACAAAAACACCCTTCCATTTGTCTCTTCAAAAATCCCACTGAATTTTTTTCTTCATTTGTGTCTCTGCTGAGTCACACAGAGCCATGATTCACAAACATAAGGTAATATTTATCCACCAGAGTTCAGGAAAAATCAGTCCATCAAACTGAGAAAAATAAAAATAATAAACCCTGAATCTGATTGAATTACAGGACTGTACTTTATTGAGATTGTGTCCTTCCCTCTTTTCTGGAATTACAGGTTTTATCTTTTATAAAATGATAGCAATGAGTGTATTTTGGGAATGTCTGGAAGAGTGACGGCTAAGTCAGTCCTCCAAATTCACTTTGCAATTTTTCTGGCAAAATCTCAAAGTCTGAGAAGCACTAAGCTGAAAGTCACACTACTCCTCTGGAAACCAGCTCAGAATATTCCTGGCTTACCTGGAGTGGGCCCAGTGAACCTTCTGGCTTGGGATCACTATCAGCAAACTGGTCTCCAGCCCTGCATTTCTCCTAACATGAAAAGACGGCCTCTTGGATCACTTCGGTAGTTAATCACCACTAACAAAGGAACAAAATAAAGGGGAGGAGAACAGGATTACAGACACGAAGGGCCTTTGCTCCTAGTCTCAGAACACCATTGTTGGAATGACGGCCTCTCCCCAGGAAGGAGGGGCTGTCCCAGGGCACTGTGCATGCCTTCTCTTCACAAAGACAGGAGGACACACTTGTTGCTGCATAAGACAAGACTGCCAGCACAGCCGCTGGCACACAGCCTGAAGGACCCCACTATTGGATGAAGAAAACACTGAAGTCAGCTTCAACTGTGCCTTTAGACATCTGCCAGCTGAGGGGGTGCGCCACAGTCATTTCCTCCCTAAGTCTCCGAAGGTCCAGTCTGGGCTGTTCTAGGGTTCTCTTTTGTCTTCCAGTGAGGTGTGGTGTGGTGCACAGGCACCGCCTTGATCACCACTTCTAGACCACCCAAGCTTAAGGGGCCAGAATTAGCAGCTGGACCCCACCTAGAAACCTACTTGGGGGAGTCTGTAATGCCCTGGAAACGGAGAGCTCAAGAATCTGACCACATCTCAAATGACCCTCAGTAAATTCCAGACACAAGGGCGTGACATTTTATGTGGCACATGGCACATCTGAACTATGCTTTGTTGAATCTCCATGTCAACCTCTGTAATACACTAACTCTAACATTGGTATAAAACCCAAATAATCACACAAATCTAACTCTAGTTACTTTTATGGGTTATGCCTCAAATGTCAAAACAACCGACACATAATAAATGAAGTAAATTTTTTTAAATCTGTAGCAAATGTTCTCTTGCCCTGGGAAAGGAGATGGGTTTCCCGGGCCGGCTCCCCTGAGGCCCTGGGCCAGCTGTTGTTTCAGCACGGCTGGCTTTCTGGAACTTGGGCAGCTGTCCAGCTCCCAGTCAAAATGGGCACCTCTAATCTTGCTTTTTTTTGCTCGGATACCACACATTCCAGGCAGCCGTATACACCTTCAGAAAGGGCAGACTTATCTCAGGCCAGGTGTGAACACTCCAGGGTGCTGAGAGAAGCAGCTCAGCAGCTCGGCAAGGCCGATGGCCAGGGCGAGGCAGGGCAGGCCCGGCTTGCTGGGCAGGAACACACAGGTGGGCGTGCGGACAGATGCCTCCAGGTAGCAACAAGTTACATGGTGAGGGTGAGGAATCTCTTTTTTTTTTACTAGTGAGATATAGCCCTTCAGTGGTAGAAGGAATCTCAGAAATCATTCCTTCCACCTTTCACCTTCCTAATATTTACTGAGTCTTTTTTTTCTTTTTTTAAACAATAAATAAGGACCCCTGACCTAGATTCCTCAACAAAGGAAGGAAAAAACATTGTTCATTCGAGGGCCAAAAAATGTGTCCCTCCCTCGATTGCCGTGGCCAGGGCCAGAGGACAATGAGCCAGTTTCCCTATAAACAACATACTCTGTCTCAGCAAAGTCTTCTAGGAAGGGCTTATGTCTCAGCAGCCACTGAAGCTCAATTCTTAGTTCCACTTCCCCTGGGACACCCATTTGCTCAAATGGTTTTGATTTCCACCTCATTGAAGAAAACCAGATGGTTAAACACTCTGTATTTCTATACCCCTGCCTGTCTGCGTGGAGGAAGCCTAACATCTGTACGTGGGTTTCCCGGGATGAGAGGCAGCCCTCCTCCAAGCATGGTACCTAGACTCAGAAAGCAAATAAAGCAACAAGAATGCTCAAAAGAACACAGAGGGGCTATCGCCTCCATGAGAGCAAAATAACCATGGCCCTGTCAAGAGTATTTTAGTAGGAAGGAAACAGGCATATTAATCAGGAGACGTGATACATGGTATATGTTATGCAGGGTTCCTGATACGGTCAGAAAGAAAATCCAGAGTTAGAAGCGGCAGGTGGTCGGAGTCCTGATCCTAGCACCTTTTAGCTGTGTGACCTTGGTAAGTAACTTACCTCTCAGAATCTCAGTTTCCTCCTCTCAAATGGGGATGTAGTATCTGCTCTGACAACCTTATAAGTGGTTTCTGAGAAAATGAAAGTGAACACATTATGCAAATGCAAAGGAACGTGTATGCTAATCATATGGGCACAAACAGAGCAGGATTTGAGGAGCTGAAGGCTCCTTCTAGTGAGTTCTCTTAAGCTGTGAGACAAGGAGCTGGCTAAAGATCACCCTCCTCTCTCTAAAATGTAAGAAACCCCAACTTCCCCAGAAGCCTGTCACATTTATAGGCAACATTCATATTCCACAGCTCCTTTCCCTAAGCAAGGGTCCTGGACCTGCCCAACCCCTCCTCTCATCGTTTCTTGGGGTCCCTGGGGCACTGTTGCATCCACGGGCACCTTCTTCTCCTGCCATTGCTGCCTCTGATGCCCTGCAGTCCATATGGTGCCCAGGATGCCTGGTAATGAAGTAGATTATATTCTGTTTGTTAGATGAAGCCCAAAGCAAGGATGCTTAGTACAATATGTCCCTCTAATATTAACTGAAACTGCTCATCCTCTTTTTACTCAGAGCTCCTTTTCTCCCTTAAGCTCCAACATGCCATGGAACCTGGCTTAAGAGGAGATCCTAGTGACAGATTCTAGCCTACTTAGAACCACTTTCCCACTCTGACCCTGAAATTCTGAGGTGTAGCTAAGCTTATAATTAACTCCTCCTCTCAGGATGCATTTTCCATTAGGAGACTCCTGGTGGGATGCCCCACAAATGCACTACACAGACCCAGGCAACTGATTCCCAAATTCGCCGTCATTCTCAATACCTCCTGGAAAAACAACAGCTTTTTGTTTTTTATTCCACAGTTTGGAAAACACGACCCTCCAACATCCATGCGCTCCAACTCCAGGATGGGCTCTGTTTATCTGCACCAGACTTGCTTACTGCAGCCTGTCGGCCAGTGGTGACTGCTTCAAGAATAAAGAAGTCTTTGCAAATTTAAGCTAAAGATATATAAGAAGAACATTGCTGGAGTTTCCTCGGCTCTTAAAATAGGCATTTGGAAAACCAGCCTTTTTCCCCATGAAGAATCAGAAATGGGGACTCCCATTTGACTCCAAATGATGGAGTCGGAATTTAAATGCACACTTGTGATTCCAAGGCTAAAAAAGGTGCTGTGTAGGAACCTCCCTGTGGATCCTGGGATAGGAAGTGGCTGCTCCTGAGTCACTCCAGTTTTCATGAGTCCCAGATTCCTTACCACGACTCCATTGGGCTTTCTTTAAACTTCTTAGTTGATACTCACCCGTTTCTTCTACTGTTTACACACATTGCACACATTCTATTTTGAATCTCTTGGTTCTCAGTCCCTAAATTTCATCTTTCCTGTAGTTGGACCCTCAGAACATCCCAGCCTCAACTCCCAATCAAGAGCATTTCTAGCACAAAGTTGTGATTTTCTTTCACGTGTTGTCTCCAGCTTGAGAGCAGATCTGCCTTCGAAACCTGCTGCTGCTGCTGCCACCACCAGCACCGTCATAGCTGACTACACATTCTGTGCAGGGACTCTGCTAAGCAGGGAATCTATTATCTCCATGAGATAGGGTTTTACAGATGAAAAAACAGTAACTTAATGAGATCAGGTAACTGGCCCAAAGCCATACATATGGTAGATGGTAGAGCCAAAATTCAAATGTACACTTGTGATTCCAGGGCCAGAAAAGTTTTGATAGGCTATGTGGGGACCTTCTGGCTAATTCCAGGATAGGACAGGGCTATTCCTAGGTATCTTTCAGTTGCTCAGTAGAGAGGGAGGTGGTCACTCACTAGCAGATTTGTGAGTTTCTTTAGACTTGGGCTGGTGGTGAAGAAGCTGGGCTGCGCACCCTCAGTTCCTAACTGACCTTCAGCTCTGTCTTCTTGGGAGCATTCTCCTCCTCAGTATAGGAGGACAAGGGCACAATACTGTCTCAGGAACTGGCATTTCTTCTTCCTCTTGAAACATCTTTCCTTATTTTAACTGTTTCCCAATCACTCAAGTGCCCTCTGGATACGTCCATTTGTCCCAGAGTCTGGCCTGGCCTCGCAGATAACTTAGAAAACGTGCACATGCCACCCTCCTCTCCACTCAGGATCTCTTCATTCATTCATTCTTTATTCTGCATCCATTACATGCTGAACGCTCGTACTTACTTGTGGAGGTCACAAAATAAGTTCAGAATATGACACAGGTCCTGCCCACGAAAAGCACAGCTACCAGTCCTGTATTTATAGTATCTGTGGAATTCTACCTTCCCTTCTAATTTGACTTCTAGCTCTGCTTCTCAGGCTGCAGAGGCCTTCTTGCCATCATGAGAACCGTGAGATTTAGGTCAGTAAGCTGAGGATAATGAAATGGAAAAATGGAAAGAGCCCCAGCGACACTGCTGGGCTGTTAAACTATCTAAACTGCTTGTTTGTTTTCAGGCTTATAAGTCATATAAGATGATGCATCTTTATTGCTCCAGCTGGAAGCATCCTAAATGATACACTCTCTCCAGGTGCCAGGAAAGATGCCAAATAGCAGGCCTAAACTGTCTTACAGCTTGGGGTCCAAAACGGGAAAGGACTTTGTGCCTGCCAGTCTCCATACAATGAATGCCACGGAACTCTGGCTGATGCTGTTCACTCCGCTTGCCCACCCCAGGCCAATCCCGTGTCTGGTCAGATGCAGTACTGTCATCAGCCCAGGATGCGGTATTGGGTTGTGGGTCTCCCATGTGGCCACAAAGGAGGACACTGTGTTTGACTAAAACCACACATGATGTGTACAGGCCCCACGGTGAACACAGGCAACACGTCTGCTAAAATGGGGCTTAAAAATGAAGTTAACACTTGGTTCCGAGATGAGCTATGAAAGCAAAACAGGTTCTAGGAGCCAAATGTGGGAACAGCTACACAGCAGAAAAGGGTGGCACTGGTGGATTTCAAACACTGATACTTACAAAGGGAGGTAACGGCAAGAAATCCATTTTAAGATTGAAGAAACAGCACAGATGATCCCATCTTCTCTTCTGGGGCAGAGACACAGGCACAGGTGAAACTTAAAAACAGAGCACGTAGCAGGACTGGGCGTATCCTTAGGGAACCTAAGCTTTGTTTAAGCTGAAAAAGTATGAATCTATTCAGCATCAGGTTTGGCCACAACTGGTTAGAGAATCTGTAAAGCACAGAAGATGAGGACAGTAAATATGGGAGCTGGAGAGGCGTGAGAGTAGTGAGAGCTGGCTGGGCGCAGTGGCCCACGTCTGTAATCCCAGCACTCTGGGAGGCCAAGGCGGGCAGATCGTTTGAGGTCAGGGGTTCGAGTGACAACAAAGGTGGGCAAAACACTGACATGATCCAGACAGAGAAGACCTGTGGCCACACCTGCCCTGTTCTGTTTGGATCTGAGCTCTCCCCATCAGCTCTAGCGTCTCAGAGCTAGGCAGACTACGTCCTAGGAAAACACACCTTGGGGAAGCTTCCTGAGTGAGGTGGCTCCTGTCATGGTATCAATGTCATGATGTGTCTTATATCTCCTGCCCTGACCAAGAACCAGGAAACACTATTTCCAATGACTTCTTGAGCAGGTGTGCTCCCCATCCCATGCCAGACTTGACTGCGTAGCTTCAGGATCTGTGTTGGGTTGCAAGGCTTCTCCTGCCTGGTGCCTGTCTTGACATCTATATTGACCTATTAGTTTTGTTTCCCTCAGTTGAGAGTAGAGATAATAGTAGCTATATCTTTCAAATACAGTGTGGCTTCATCTTGAGGACCTAGGGAAGAGTGTGTTCATCCTGTCCTCATAGACTAGAAACATAGGCCTGTGAGGTGGGCAGTGGTCACTCACTAGGAGATCTGTGAACGTTTCTTTAGACCTGGGCCAGTGATAGAGCAGCTGGGCTGTGCATGCCCTAGTGCCTATCTGTGGGAGAGTAACATCACACCAGGCGGAGACATACAACCTACACCCTCCAAGGTTACATCAGAGCAGTAGGGATGACAAATCTGTGTTCTGGAGACTTTTCTTCCTGTACCACTCTCCATTCCAAAAAGTCAATGTAGATGTTTTGGCTTTATTAAAGAGTATATTAAAAGGTATAGGCAGGGCAAGGCATGGTAGCTCAAACCCATAATCCCAGCACTCTGGGAGGCCAAGGTGGGTGGATCACCTAAGATCAGGAGTTCAAGACCAGCCTGGCCAACATGGTGAAAACCGGTCTCTGCTAAAAATACAAAAATTAACCAGGTGTGGGGGCACATGCCTGTAGTCCTAGCTACTTGGGAGGCTGAGGTGGGAGGATCACTTGAACCCAGGAGGCAGAGGTTGCACTGAGCAGAGATGGCACCACTGCACTCCAGCCTGGGTGACAGAGTGAGACTCCATCTCAAAAAAAAAAAAAAAAAAAAAAAGCGTAAGCAGTTGGGTGGTATTGTAAATCACCTGTTTTGTTCAACAGGATGTGTTTGCTTCCGGAAATTTTTATTATTGGCTTTTCTAAGCTGCTGCTATACAACTCATTATTTAATAGCATGAAAAAAGGATCATGTTAAGTATTTTTTAAAAGGCTGTAGAATGGATTGTACGCTATGGGCCCAACTATGTCAAAAAGCATAGCTTTAAGTGTATCTATGCATAAATGTATACAGCAGGAAGAGATAAAAATGGTAATGTTGGGTGTCTGCATGAAATGATTGTAGGTATCCACCTTTTTGTGCTTTCCTATATATTCTCATTTGTAAAATAACAATGCATAATTTAAATAATTAGAAAACAGTAACTTAAAAGCAAATCTGTTTGTTGACATGGCTCCTATGGTGGTTCAGTGAGTGTCTTCACCAACAGAGCCACCCAGGATGTAGGAGTCAGAAGACATGGGCCTGCTTCCCAGCTCAGTCATCTGCCTGACACTCTCTAGAAGCCATCTGCCTTCAGAGACTCAAGTTTCTTCACCTGTAAAATTAGAGTACTATCTGCTTTGTCTGATTGTTGGAATTACTGTAAGAGTCTAAGTTAGAAAACAACACAATGTATCGGGAAAACAGATAACGAACAGGTAACATTCAAGTGATGACACATTTTCCTGGCTGCCCACAACTCTGTAGCCATTGCTTTTCAGTCCAGTCTTCTTATTCCTCTTCCTCTGCCTGAAAAGGTAAGAAGCTCCTTGAAGCTCAGCCCAAGACCACTTCTTCTTCCCAACCTATTCTCTCTTCCTAGATGAGCTTGTCCATTCTATGACTTCAGTTACCACCTGTTTATGGCTCACAAATTGATTGTCTCAGCTCAACTTTCAGACCTGTATATCCAACTACTTTCTTTTTTTTAGACGAAGTTTCGCTCTTGTTACCCAGGCTGGAGTGCAGTGGCGTGATCTCGCTCACCGCAACCTCCGCCTCCTGGGTTCAGGCAATTCTCCTGCCTCATCCTCCTGAGTAGCTGGGATTACACGCACGTGCCACCATGCCCAGCTAATTTTTTGTATTTTTAGTAGAGACGGGGTTTCACCATGTTGACCAGGACGGTCTCGATCTCTTGACCTCGTATTCCACCCGCCTTGGCCTCCCAAAGTGCTGGGATTACAGGCTTGAGCCATCGCGCCCGGCCTATCCAACTACTTTCTAAGTATAAAGACTTGACTTTCTCACGGGCACCTTGAATCTAACGCATCCAAAATTAACCTTAAGGCCTTCCCAGATCCCACCACAACAAATTTGATCCTCCTCATGGTTCCTTTCTCAGAGATGGCCACCAGCATCCAACTAGATGTACAAATCAGAAACCCAGGGAGCACCCCTCCCTCCTCTCTTTCCCTCACAACCCATGGCCACCCCATCACCGTTTTACATCCCACATATCTCCAAATCCTCTTCCCTTTTTATTTCCACTGCCATTACTATAGTCCAGGCTATCCTTGTCTCTTGCCTGGATGATGGCAATAAGCTCCACACTAGAGTTCCTAGATCTACCCATTGCTTCCGCCAATCCATTCTCCATTCTGCATCCAGAGAAAGCTTTGCATTTATGTATTTATTTATTTTTATTTTGTAGAGATAGGGTCTCGCTATATTGCCCAAGTTAGACTCAAACTCCTGGTCTCAAGTGATCCTCTTGCCTTAGCCTCCCAAAATGTTGGGACTACAGGCTTGAGCCACTGCACCCACCCTCAGAGAAAGCTTTTTTTAAAAATCAACTTTATTGAGGTATAATTTACATGCAATAAAATTCACCTATTTTAAGCATCCAGGTTAATGAGTTTTGACAAATAACTCCATTCTGGTAACCACCACCCAATCAAGATAGAAAATATTTGCAGCACCCGGGAAGCTCCCATGTCCTCTTATTCAATCTTTCCACCATGCCTGCTTCCAGGCAACTAAGAATCTGATTTTTTTTTTCAATCTGATTTTTATCATTATAAAATAGTTTTGCTTGTTCTGGAATTTCATATAAATGGAAACATATATTGAAGGCTTTTTGTCTGGCTTATTTCACTCAATAAAATATCTATGAGATTCACCCATGTCCTGGTGCATATCAGTAGCCTGTTGTTTTCATTGCTGAGCAGTATTCATGCTATGACTATAGCTAAGCATCTTCATCCATTACCCTGCTAATGAGCATTTGAGTTTGTTCTACATTTAGGCTATTTGGTATTATCTTTTCCCCATCCTTTTACCAGCCTACCTGGCTCTGGATATTTAAAATGCATCTCTTACAGGCATCATGTAAGCAAGTCTTGTTTTTTATTCAATCTAATAATCTCTGCCTTAGGGGGGTGGGGTGGGATGAAGCAGAACTAATAGGCTTATGAATGGGATAAGTCTAAGGGCATAAAGTATTTGTAGGGGTTTGCCTTCACCTTACATAAACTCCAGATACCTGCTGTTAACACAATGGTTCTAAAAGCATGGTCTGTGGACCCCTGATGCTTCACTGACACCCTTTCAGGGATGTGTTAGGTCAAAACTATTTTCATGATATAACACTTGAGTATTCTTTGCCTTTTTCACCATATTGTCATTTGCACACCTGATGCAGGAGCAATAGTGAGTAAACTGCTGGGGCCTCAACACAAATCAAAGTGGTGGCACCAAACTGTGTCAGTAGTCATTGTACTTTTCCCCTCCACACACTCAAAAACTGAAAATAAAATTTAAAAAAGAAGCCAGTTTCACTTAAGAGGTACCTGATAACAACAGTAAAAATTATTAACTTCATTGTATCTCAACTCTTGAGTACATGACGTCCTAAGTGACCAAATGGGCCTTCTGATGGTTTTCGAGCAAAAACGTACATGTGCAATTGTGTAAGATGCAAGCAGAAGTAGCAACATTTTTACCCAGAGGGAATATTTAATCAATTAATTCATGATACACATCTATGATACTTTTTTCTTCTATGTTTTGGCTCACTTCTCTTTAAATGTTTCTCTATTAAGAAATCCATCATTTCTATGGAAAGAATAAATTCTCTACCATGGTAGATCAAAGTCTTTTTTTAAGAGTTGCTGTATACCCCATACCCAATGAGGGTACGTAAGACCCTTCAATCTGACATAGGGGTATACAATACCCCTACTGTTAACATCTTTTGTTACTCTATGATAGTTTGTCACAATTAATGAACTAATATGGATACATTATTAACTGAAGTCCATACTTAATCAGATTTCCTAGTTTTTTCCCAGTGTCCTTTGTATGTCCCAGGATCCCACTGGGACACTGTTCCACTCTCAACCCCACAGTAGCCGCTATCTTCTTGAGTGATCTCACCTAGCTCATGTTCAGCTCGCCTCTCAACCTTCAACTTACTAGGGACCTAGACGTGTCCTCGTGTATGCTCTTATACAACTCCCTCCTCTCTGTATCTCACTCCACACTATCTATCTGCTTCTGCTGCTCTGAATCCCAATTTCCACATCTTCCACTCAGCGCGACCACTGTGATCTACATGGACTCCAGCTCTCTGTGCCATGGTTGGGAACAGTTCCAAGACAGACAGTTGGGTGATCGTGGGGTTTACCTCATGAGTTTCCCTCTGTCTGGGATCAGTAGTTTTGTGCTACCTATTTTTCACTGCCTGAAAATAGTTGTCTCATCTGTTTTGTCATGTTGTATAGCAGTTCATGGTAGAAGGGCTAGCCTAGTACCAATTACTCCATCATAGCCAGAATC